TGGCTTATTTTTATATATAGTATTTTTCTTCTGCATATATTTTTAGCATATTGTGAATAACAGGAATTGCACAAAATAGCCAGATTTATTTTCAACTGAGAGCATGTGATTCATTTTAATTAGCATAATGTTCAAGTTTCAAACTTCTTAAAAAAAGTGATTCTAAAAAGTTAATAAATAAATTTTCAAATCTATTTTATGTGATATTTATTTTTGATTAACGATGAAACGTACAGTAATATAATTATTGAAACAAATTTTTAAATCTTACAAATTGCAGTCTATATCAAGGGTGCCCAAACATTTTCATATTTAGAGTTAAAACCAATTATCATTAAGAGCCATGGGCTGAAAGTAAATATACCAAACTATATTACACTAAAGTTGCTTTATAGCTAATCTATATCAAAATATGTATAAATACATAGAAAGTTATTACTTTAAATTGTATAATTAAATTCATTCAATTGAAACCTTTATTTCCCTTACCTTTTTGAGGCTAAGCAATAAAACAAACCAACAAAAATTACATTTAATTAGAAGTTGCTGTCTCTAAACCATGCCCATCATTCTCCCTCTCTTGTCAGATGGGATGGTAGGCTAAATCAAAGGTTACCCTGAGCCAACTTTGGCCCACAGGCTCTAGTTTGGGCATCTTTGGTCTGTATGTTCAGTTCATGGCAGTTTGATGTGATCTTAACATATTCCATTAACAATAAAACATGTTTCATTGTAAAAAAAAAAATAGTCATGTAAATTAAAAGTCTAAAACACCTTCAGTTCACAACCGTACTTTGGTACTGGCTTGTATTTTATTCGACATTTTACATCATATTAACATCTACATTTATATATTTAAATTTGTTTACAAATAAAATGGCCAGCATTTATTCAATACAAATGTGAGTCATATTAATCAGCACAAAGTTAAAAAAAATCTTTCAAAAACAGTCCTAAAATAAAGAAAAAAAATATTATTTTATTGTGATCTTAACATATTAACAATAAAACATGTTTCATTATTTAATTAAATTAAAAAGTCTTGTTAGTTTCCTAGAACTGGTTTGCAGCTGGAAGCACATGTGCTGTTTAAAACATATGCTGGAATAGTTGGTGGTTCATTCTGCTGTGGCAACCCCTGATGAATAAGGGACTAACCTGAAGGAAAATGAATAAATGATTAAAAAAGTATTTTTAATTAAAAGTCTAAAATACTTTCAGTTCATAGCTGGACTTTTTTTTTTAAATTTATATATATATATATATATATATATATATATATATATATATATATATATATATATATATATATATATATATATATATGTGTGTGTGTGTGTGTGTGTGTGTGTGTGTGTGTGTGTGTGTGTGCGTGCGTGCGTGCGTGCGTGCGTGCGTGCGTGCGTGCGTGCGTGCGTGCGTGCGTGCGTGTGTTTTGATTTGTTATGAGCAGCACATTGGTCAACCTCTGGTTGTATTAAATAGTGCTATATAAATAAAATTGACATTGACATTGTTTTACGAATAAAATGGCCAGCATTTATCAGTAAAAAAAAAAAAAGTGATTCAATTTAATTAGCACAAAGTTTATAACATCTCTGTTACATTAACAATAAAAACATGTTTAATTTTTTAATTAATTTTTTTTTATTATAATTTTTTTTTGTTTTCCTTTTTTTATTGACAATTCTCAATCAGAGAGGTATTACAAGTGAGGGAAAGAAAAACCACGACACATTACTTTCACAGTGTAAAAAAAATACTGAGTGGTAATTAAACACATTCCTTACTCCCTGAACCATATTGAGATTGAAATAAAGTAAACAACAACAACAAAAAAGGAACAAACAAACCAAAAAGAAAAAAAATACATAATAATAATAATAATAGTAATAATAATAATTATAATAAATATAGCTGCAAGCAGCAATTAAGGGGCCAAGCACTTTTGGCCAAAAGGTGGCGCTGCTCCAGAAGTTTTTGAGTACTTTCAGGGCATGGGGTTGAAGATGCATACCATTTTTTGTAATGATATGTGAATATGTTGGTAAAATATTGCATTTTTGGCCAAAAATCTAAATGTGCTATGCCTAAAATGGCTGACCTGTGAAAATCAGACATCATTCGGCTCGACATGCTCTGCCGGATGTAATGAGACCAGTTTTATGAGTTTCGGAAGAAAGGTTGAGACGTTATAAACCAAAAAAGCACATTTTTTGTATCTTTGGACAGGGGGCGGTGTCCATTTTCACAAGTTCTACGTTAAATTTGATCGCAAGTTAAATGAAAATGGTTGGTCTAATCAACTTGGATTCCATAACTTTTGGTTGACATGGTCTGTAGATCATACATAATAATAATAATAATAATTACAAATTTACAAATGACACCTAAGTACGCCATTAGCGTTAAATGTATAATATCACACAATTTTTTTTTTTAATACACTCTTAGATAAGTTTGTATCAGTCAAAAGCAAGAGGGGGAAAAAGAAGAAAAACAGACAGATACAGACAGGGTTAAATGCAATATGGGATATACAAAGCTTTTTTTTAAAAAATACAACAGAAAAGGTTGCCAAGCTGTATAGAAATCCTCTGTTTTGCCATTAATTGTACATCTAATTTTTTCTATTTGAATGAACTGTAACAGGTCATACATCCAATGAAAGTAGTTTGGCGGAGAAGGTTTTTTCCAGTTTAATATGATAATTCTTTTAGCAATTATTAAGCAAAAGGCTAATCCATTTGACTGCAAAGATGATAACAATACATTTGTAGGACTGAGTCCAAACAGTGCCACTAAAGGACACGGTTCAATTTTTAGAAGAAAAATATCAGATATTGATTTAAAGATTGATGTCCAAAAAGAAATGAACTCTGGACAAAGCCAAAAGGTATGGTAGAGTCGCTAGAGCTTGTTAGCATGGGATCAATTTCTCAATTTCTGGGTTTATTTTAGATAGTTTATCTTTTTCGTTTATCTTTTTTATCTTTCTAAATTCTGTGTAATAGTTTAAACTGTATCAATGAATGGCGAGCACAGATAGAAGTAATACTGTATGTACACGACGAAGAACTTATGACCATTCATCGTCTGAAAAAGCATGGTTGACATCTGATTGCCAGTCTAGCTTTATTTTAGACGAGGATGAAGAATCTGACAATATATTGAATGAGAAAATTGTTTTATGTATGTTGGAAATAGCACCCTTGGAGATTTTTATTTCTAAGATCTGATCAATCTGCTGGTTAAGAGGAGTATGGGGGAAGTGAGAAAATGTATTTCTAATAAATTCACGAGTCTGCAAATACCTAAAGAAGTGAGTTTTTAGTAGACTGATTTTTTCTAAAAGATAAGGTTACAAAAGTGTTCTCGTGAAAGAGATCATTAATATTTACTAGGGATGTAACGGTATCATAATTTCATGGTACGATAATACCTTGGTATGAATGGCACGGTACGGTATTTATTGAATAATTTAAGGAAAAACAAAACTAATGTAAAGACTCGAAAAAAGTGCCAAAAGTGTTTATTTACCTTAGCACTGAACATATCAATGACATACAAATTAGCCATCTATCTGTAAGTTTCGAAACAGGAACTTCAATTTTTTTAATTTTAATAACAAAAAACTATTAAACCATATAAAACAAATAAAGTTTAAATTTAGTAGTGTTGAAAACTCATCACATTCAACATTTAATCACTCACTCACTTAGATAGAGATGGGTTTTTTAAGGAAAATTATCATATAACTATAATCTGGTAAAAGCTGGGGTCTCTGGGCATGTCCCCTGCAACAGAAAAAAACCCCTCTCATTTGGGACTGGGGTTTCTGGGAAAGAGAGATATGATTTAGCCAAGGTTGAAAGCAGTGGGTAACGTTGTGCATTGTCTTTCCACCACTTGAGAGGACAAGTCATGAGTGAGATAGAGGTCTCATTGCGGTACAAGTCAATGTCTGCATCAATCTAATAAGTGTGCTGTGTTCTGCAGCCCCCATGACTGTTTTTAGTCGAATTCCCAGACTTATATTTCACCACAGTCTGGCAGTGCCTGCATATTGTTTTATTCTTTGTCTGTCACCTTTTCTCCTTTCTCGTATCTTTTTAGAAAGAAACCGAAATGCTTCCACACATCCGATTTAAAACTCGCTTTAGGTTCGATCATTTCCAGCTCTTTTTCTTCCCCGCTACTAGCAGCACCCTCCATTTCCGCATTACTGGATCTGTAGTGACAACAGACCGCAAAGGATGATGGCCACGCCTAGGCTGATGGGAATTGTAGTTCCCGCTACCTCCCATTTGCTTCATTCGCCTGAGCAAACTTTTCTCAGAAATATAGTTTTATTGAGTCATCCGCCTATGGTAATATTGAAAAAAATTACTATTGCGGTATGACGGTATTTACAATACTGTTACATCCATCTGATGTAGAAGGCAAAAAAGAAGGATTTTTATATATAGGAGACAAACACGACATTGCCTGAAAAGCGAAATGTTTTCTAAATAGTTTCCAAATTCTTCGGCTACAGGGGGTTAGAAGAAAAACGAGAATATTTAATAGACACATGTTTCATTATTTAATTAAATTAAAATATCTTGTTAGTTTCCCAGTACTGGGTTGCAGCTGAAAGGCCATCATTCGGGATAGTTGGTAGTTCATTCCACTGTGGGGACCCCTGATGAATAAGGGACTAACCTGAAGAAAAATGAATGAATGAAAAACTCTTGTTAATTACGAGTCTAATCTACCTTCACCTAATTTTTATATATTTTATTCTACATATATATCATCATCTACATTATTATTTTAATTAGCACAAAGTTCACAATCTATTTATTCAAAAGCAGTCCTAAAATAAACAAGTATTAATCACTTTGATGTGATCTTAACATGTTGCCTTCTAAACTATCTTATGTTTATCTCTTCTCTGCCCATGACCTCTCACTCTCCTTTTTTCTGTTCCTATCCATGCGTTTACTTCTCTCTGTTAGAGCTGCACGTATTTTCTTCTCTCCTTCCCCTCCCTCGCTCTCTCCGGCTGGCATTTATTTCAAGGATCTGATTCGGGGGGACTGGAATGACAGCCGGAACCGTGACTGTTCACAGTGGGTGGGCGGAGCCAGAGCCGAGTGGGGAGGGTGAAACGGTATAAAAGCCCAAGCTGGTTCATCCCTGTCACTTGCACGCTCTGAACGCACAGAAATACAAGACAGAAGGAACCAAGAAACACTGCTTCTAGAGCTCGATAGAGTCTGTCAAGAAGAACAAGGTTGATCTGGAGAATAGCAAAACCTCTCAGAATCCAACCACCCAAGTCTTGGCATCCAGACAGATGGCTGCACGCCCAATGGAGACAGTGGGTTTCGCTGTTCTACCAGCACACATCTTGGCATCGGCCATGGAGGAGTTTCCTCAGCAGCTCCCCGTCCCCAAGTGCCTCGCTCGGGGTCGAAACCGTCCAAGGCGGCCTAGAGATGCCCGCTTCAAAACCCAGCCGGTCACTTTTGCAGAGATAGCAGAAGTGGAGGAGGAAGGAGCTTCGCCTCTGGAGGAAGAAAGAGCGAGACGGTCCTTCCTTCAGTCGCTGGAGAGTCTGAGGAGAAGCACACAGACCTTACAGCATGCAGGATCCACACAGAGCTGCCGCACTACTTCTGCACAAGCCAGTCTGGACTCCAGTGACTCAGATTCAACACCCTGAGAGCCAAAAGGAGGAGGACGGGACTGTAATTCAATGTATTTCGCACATATCTTCCTGTTAAATTCCTCATTCACATTCATTAACCTGTTGTAGTTGCCTATTCTACATGGGCAGAGTAACACTTGTGCTCTTCTTTTGCAAGAGGAGAGTTGTAGCATGCTGGAGGATTTCAGAAACTGCTTACTTTAATGCTTGCGCAAATTCCTTTCGTTTTTCAGTATCGTATGAGACTCGAGGTCTCATTTATAACAAACTTGACAAGAAAATGAGGACGTACTGGGTCTGATTCCATTTTAATATCTCTTGTGCCTGCTTATGATTGCACAGACGAATAGGTTTTCCACTGCTGGGCAGAATGTATAATATGTATAATGTCATATTTTATTGTAATTCAGTGCTGAGCTCATGAGCTCTGATGCATAGCAGTGTATTTTTACAGACAAGGTTTTAAACCCTGATGTCCAAATCTGCCAGACTGCTGAATTTACTAATGAACTCAGTGATGAGGAGCAAATTATTGTGCTTTTACAAATGTATCTTATATTTATTTTGATATAACATAGTGATTTTAGAGGATTGCTCTGTTGACACTGTGGACTTGTAAAGTCACTATCACTGTATGTCCGAAAATAAGGCTTTATACTTCGATTTGACTTTAATATCTTTGTTAATGTTTCATACTTTCTTTTGTAGTTATTAAAATAAAGTTTATAACGTAGGATTGATTGTCTTGTTTGTCTTTTTTTAAGACATTATTGAGTGTAGATGCTGTTATGGAAATATGTAATTGTGCTGAAAGTGTGGCAAAAATGTCCAAATTTGAAAAGAGTAATGACAGAACATTGGGTAACACTTTACATCAAAGATGTGTTTGTAAACTTTTATTATGAAACTTTTATAATCATAATATGACATGAATATGAATGCGATTTAATGCTTGTTATCAGTGGTGTAGTCCTAAAAAAAAAAGGTGGTGTACTACTTCCCACTTAATCCCAATTTTAAAAGTAGGCAAAGAAACGATGACAGTCAATGTTTCCTTGATTCATTAGCTCTCTCTCTCTCTCTCTCTCTCTCTCTCTCTCTCTCTCTCTCTCTCTCTCTCTCTCTCTCTCTCTCTATATATATATATATATATATATATATATATATATATATATATATATGCAGATTTTCCAACAATCTATCAATAAACACACCTTGTGCTCACAGCTGTGTTTGCTGACTAAATGAAAAACGAGTTGAAAACAGAGGAGCGGAAGTCTGCCGCCGTTTTTTTAATCAAATTTAAATGTGACTGAGGCGGTTATTTAGTGATGTACAGTTCATGAGGTAATCGCAAAAAAATGTTTTAGGGGGGCCGAATGGAAAATATAGAAGTGCTAAAGTGGCACCCATGCTGTTTTTTAATTTTACTTGAAAGTTTCAGCGAGATATCATTCAGTTGATTTGTTGTGATCTTCGAAAAACTCTCACGAAATGCTTTCAAGGCTGCTGCGGTCGTCAGGGGGTGGAAAATGGCGCAAATTAACGTTAAACAAATGCACCAATTGCAACAAATTAAGATGCAAATTAAAAAATACATTTGGTAGACAGTTAAAGGACACGCGAAGGCACAAAAATCAACAAAACAAGTGAGTATACCGAGGGTATACGCAGGTATTGATCCTCAGAAGTGGAACAGCTCATGGAAAAAAGTAGGCATACTGAGTATATGTGCGTATAGCAAGGACTACACCACTGCTTGTTATGACAACTGTCCTACAGTGTCATTCACTCAGTTACTGTATGTCAATTTAAATGCAAAGATGTCATTGTTTGACATGTCTTTGTCATAAAATAAACTTGACGTTATCAAGACAACATAACCTGCCATTAGCGGTGTAAAGTAACTAATTACAAATACTCAAATTACTGTAATTGAGTAGTTTTTCTTAAGTAGTTTTATAAATGTGTCCGAATAGATGTCCGAAATCGTTACTCGTCAATCGTTAAGATGATGGATTTTTACTGTATGATGACCGAAATGGCCTTAAACACCCAGGAGGCAAAAGATTTCAACATGATGTCAGATTGATGTTGTACTCCAACGTCATGGGGACGTTGCATTTTGTTTGAAAATGAAACAGAACTCAAATGTTGACGTCAGAACTCAACGTCAGGCCAACATCAATGTCCAACCTAAAATCAACCAAACATCATTCATCCATTCATTTTCTTGTTGGCTCAGTCCATTTTTCAATACGGGGTCGCCACCGCGGAATGAACCACCAATTTATACAGCAAGTTTTTATGCAGCGTATGCCCTTCCAGCTGCAACTCATCTCTGGGAAACATTCACACACACACTCATACACTGCAGACAGTTTAGCCTACCTAATTCACCTGTACCACATGTCTTGGGACTGTGGGGGAAACCGGAGCACACCCACGCGAAGGCAGGGAGGACATGCAAACTCCACACAAAAACAACTGAGCCAAGGTTCGAACCAGCGACCTTCTTGCTGTGAGGCGACAGCACTACCTACTGCGCCACTGCCTCGCCATATCAACCAAACATCAACCTCTAATGATGTTACAGCTTGACGTTGTGTGGACGTTAACCAAAATTTATATTAGTATGACAACAACCCAAAATTTAACCTATATCTAAGTAATTAGCCGTCATTATTGGACATCAAAATAACTGTCCTTAGATGCTGGCTAGAAATTGAATTTTGGTCACTTGACATCACAGCCTAAATCTAACCTAATATTAACTTCTTATGACGTTGTGTGCTTGCTGGGCAATATCTAAATGCACTACAGAATGTTACGTTTGCACACTTCTACAGAATACATGTAAATGCATCAGCTTTTTACAGTGTGATACTCACTACTCACTACTCTTGTGTACTTTTGAAAGGGCTACTTTTTACTTCTACTTTGAGTAATATTTACAACAGGTACTTTTACTCTAATCGCACTACATTTTTAGGCAAGTAATGATACTTTTACTTAAGTATGATTTTTCAGTACTCTTTCCACCACCGCCTGCTATAAATCTGTGACAAACTCGACTGTTATGAGGCCATTGCAATTGGAAAAGACATAAAACAGAAGATTTGCTCATATTTTTTATGTTGGCTTTGTCCCTTTTCTAGATGCTCTGATAAAGAAATTGGAATTAAAGTGAAAACCAAAGTTTGGTTTTGACTGTGTATTAAGTTCTGTTAAAGGGTCCTATTTAGCCTATGCTTGGGCATAAATAAATAAAAAAACATCTATAAGATAAGATATACACAGTTAGGTCCATAAATATTAGGACATTGACACAATTTTTACATTTTTGGCTCTATACACAAACACAATGGATTTGAAATGACATCTTGGTTGTTTCATTTCAAATCCATTGTGTTTTTGTATAGAGCCAAAAATGTAAAAATTGGGTCAATGTCTTAATATTTACGGACCTAACTGTGTATATCTTATCTTATAGATGTTTTTTTTTTATGCCCAAGCATAGGCTAAATAGGACCCTTTAACATCCAAATCAGGTGACCGCTGTAGGAATTACAACAGTGTGGCTCCCACTAGTTAAGGGTCCAAATATAATTGGACAAAATATTAATCATAAATCAAACTTTCACTTTTTAATACTTGGTTGCAAATCCTTTGCAGTCCATTACAGCCTGAAGTCTGGATCACATATACATCAGGGTTTCATTCCTGGTGGTGCTCTGCCAGGCCTCTACCACAACTGTCTTCAATTTCTGTTTGTTCTTGGGTCATTTTCCAATCAGTTTTGTCTTCAGCAAGTGACATGTATGTTCAATCAGATTCAGTTCAGGTGAATGACTTGGCCTTTGCATCACATTCCACTTCTTTCCCTTCAAAAACTCTTTGGTTGCTTTAGCAGTATGCTTTGGGTCATTCTTCATCTGCTCTGTGAAACACACTCCAATAAGTTCTGAAGCATTTTGGCTTACTATGAGCAGAAAATATTGCCTGAAACACTTCAGAACTCATCCTGCTGCTTTTGTCAGCAGTCTCATCATCAATAAATACAAGAGAACCAGTTCCGTTAACAGCTATACATTCGCAGCCCATGTCACTGCTACCACTATGCTTCACTGCTTAGGACATGAGCAGTTCCTTCCCTTCTCCACAGTCTTCTCTTCCATCACTCTGATACAAGTTGACTTGGATCTCATCTGTCCATAGAATGTTGTTCCAGAACTGTGAAGGCTTTTTAAAAACTCTAATCTGACCTTCTTGTTTTTGAGGCTCATCAATGGTTTAGATCTTGTGGTGAACCCTCTGTATTCACTCTGGTGTAGTCTTCTCTTGACTGTTGACTTTGACACACATACACCTACCTCCTGGAGATTGTTTTTGATCCGGCCAACTGTTGTGAAGGGTTTTTCCTTCACCAGGGAAAGAATCCTTCGGTCTACAGTTGAAGTCAGACTTGTTAGCCCCCCTGAATTATTAGCCCTCTTGTTTATTTTTTTCCCCCAATTTCTGTTTAACGGAGTGAAGATTGTTTCAACACATTTCTAAACATAGTAGTTTTAATAACGCATTCCTAATAAATGATTTATTTTATCTTTGCCATGATGACAGTAAATAATATTTGACTGGATATTTTTCAAGACACTTTTATACAGCTTAAAGTGACATTTAAAAGCTTAACTAGGTTAATTAGGTTAACTTAGGGTAATTAGGCAAGTTATTGCATAATGATGGTTTGTTCTGTAGACTATCGAAAAAATAGAGCTTAAAGGGGCTAATAATTTTTTCGAGTAGGACTTAATCCAGAAGAAAAAATATTATCAGACATACTGTGAAACCTAGGCAGCATCATCGACCAGCAGGGTGGAACTGATAAAGACGTTAAGGCAAGAATCGGCAAAGCAAGAGCTGCTTTCATCCAGCTTAAGAACATTTGGGCTTCGAGAGAACTTACCATGACCACGAAGATCCGCCTGTTTAACTCTAATGTGAAATCAGTATTGTTGTGCGGGGTAGAGACCCTCCAGAATAACCAAAGCTTCCACCCGCAAGATCCAAACATTCGTCAACACCTGTCTCAGAAAGATTCTGCACATTCGCTGGCCTGACACGATCAGTAACACCGACCTATGGAGAAGGACCTGTCAACCTCCGATAGAAACAGAAATCTGGAAGCGAAGATGGGGTTGGATAGGGCACACCCTACGCAAACCACCAACTAGCATCACCAGACAGGCTCTCAGATGGAACCCCCAACGGGAAGCGGGAGAGAGGCCGTCCAAGAAACACCTGGCGACGCGACCTCGACGCAGACATCACAAGGATGGGTTACACCTGGGGACAAGTAGAAAGAATGGCCCAGGACAGGAACCTCCGGAGATCTACCTTTGGCGGCCCATGCCCCGGAAGGGGTGGAGGGCATAAGTAAGTATACTGTGAAAATATCCCTGCTCTGTTAAATATCACTCCGTCTTCATATGTGTATATATATATATATATATATATATATATATATATATATATATATATATATATATATATATATATTGTTGGAATTTATAATCAATTCCATGCGTGTTCAATACAAACTCAGGAGGCGGAGATCAATTAAAAAAATATTAGTAATTTATTAAATACAAATGAATATTTCGATTAGGGCCCTGGGTCGCACAAATGTGTCCTAATGCTATCCAACAGAACACACCAGGCGCTCATCGAGTGTTTTCT